GTAGGGAGCCCCACTGGGAGAACAGAGTATCTTATGAATATTCATCATCTCTAGCTTGAGTTCCCTTCAATTCCAACTGTCAAACAGCACCATCTAACTACAAGAAATTGAACAAATTTATTTCAGACCAGTATCAAGGAAGAAAAAGATAATATCTCGTGAGTGCCTGCCAGTCTCTTCTAGTCTGACCTTCTGGACACCAAATATCCACTTAATTCTTGGTGCCTGAAAGAAAATACTTTCTCTCCACAAGGAAACAACCTGGAGTTCTCTGTGGTGTGCCATCCAGCTCTGAATCCACCTCTGTCTGATGCCTTATCGTTTCTATCGGATCAAGTTGTGGCTCCCGGTGGTCTAGTGATGTAAGAGCCAAGTGCAAAAGTTATCACCCTCTTCCCCACAGAGCACACATCAGGTAGCAGAACCACAGGGAAACCTCCATCAGCAAAAGAGGAGAGAAGACGCAGTGGCCACCGGTCCACACAAGGTTCGGAACCTGCTGTGGAGTGGCCACACAGGCTCCTCTAGCCTGTGGGTGGGAAGTTCTTTCTAGGGGTCACTCTTCTTACTGTTCCCTGGGAAGTTTTTGAGTGGCTCCCCAGTCACCTCTTGCTATTATTGTCCTGGATGGAGGCTACACAAGTTGTTCAGTTCACTTCCTTCAGGGTATTTTACTTTTTAATACTCAGTTAAACCTAGGCTCATAATTTCTTCAGGAAGGACTTTTCTTTTAAAACTGGTATTTCTGATCTATTTGCTTCCAGTTAATTCTACATGCCAATAACTACACTCAAAGTCTCTTTCTATTCATAGTTCTAAAGCGTACATCACTTTTTTACCCATTGTTTTAGGCTCTTGGTGGTGACTGCCCCCCGGAATTATCTAACATAATAGGATAGGTTGTGAAAGACAGGGCCTTAATAGACTTTTTTGCTGCAATGATAATCCTTGTTGGAGATTTAGATAAAAAAAAAGGCTCGAACCTTTGATTTCTCATTGCAAATGAAGCAGCATATTTCTTATTTCATATTTCTTCAAACTTTTCTTAGAACCACTAACATATTTGAATTATTCTGAGTTTCTTTACCTGGAGCTACAACACTCAGTAGTACATGATCTACTTATCCCTGGTAGTGGGTCTACCGTGCTTACGATGTGCTCCTGGCCTTCTAAATTACTACACACTTCACTTACATAAATGGCTTCATGTTGCTTCTTAGGAGAAATAACAAGAGACTCAGCACTTGCCCTCTCTCTCACTATTTTGTTGACTGATGATAGATCACTCTACCTCCTGATAGCTGAAGAATCTTCCCTCTTGTAGGGGGAAACTTAGGACTCCGCCATTAGCCATGTGGCGCTCTAAAGACACACAGGGATGTGGTAATGAAAGGGCCGAACCGCACCACTAACCACACCCACTTTGGTCATGACTAGTGACAGGCAGAACTACCCCACTAGCCAGGCTCAGGAGGAAGGAATAAAAGACTGAACAGCAGAGCGCTCACTCTCTTTCGGCTTCCAATTCGGTGGCAGAAAACTACTTGACTCATCTGGGTTGCTCGTTTTTCTCTTGTGAGTAACTTCTACAATAAACACTTACCTATACCCTCAACAAGTGTGCCGTTTATTGTTGCAGCATCATCCTCGAATTTCTAAGGCGCCACCATCTTAATTGAAGCCATCCTATCGTAACTGAGTAATGTCTCCTTACTGGTCTTCATGCCCACAAAACGCACCTCATCCCCTTTTCTGCTCCCTGTAAGCATTCCAAGTGTGGTTTTTCTTAAATGTGTTTGAATTATTCCTCTACTTTCAGGTTAAGGTTCAATGTTCATCAATATCCCCTGCCAGTCTCTTCCAGTCTGACCTTGGGGACACCATTTCTAAGACGCCCTGATCATCGGATTCCAGCCCCTCGAAGACTGAAGGCTCATTTGCATGCTACCTAGCATCAGGTCCACATCAGGCCCTCTGACTAAATAGAGTGTTCCTTCTTTCAAGGTTTACCAAATACTTTAAAGTTCTTGGAATGCATTCTTGTCTGTCCAATCTGATGTGATAATTATTCTTCTACTGATTTCAAAGCATCAGAGCCTGCTTATATTTATACTATCATCCATACTATAGCCACATGTTTTATTTACCCAACTTCAGTGAAAATCATACAAATTGTATACATCAAGTATGAAGTTCTAGATAAGAACTAATACAGCTTTTGCCTCCTTCTACCTTAAATGATAAATAAATGGGTGTTTTGAACAAATGCATGAATCACACAATTTCAATACATTAAGGACCCAAAGAGAGAGAGAGATTTTTAATATTCGGTCTCCATCTACTGCTCTCTTAAATACCATACTTCCTTTCCCAACTTCCTAATGGCTATCTCACTATGCACGCCTACTAAACAGATCTAAACATATAGTGTGTTTAGCTTCCTCCATTTATTTCCTCACCCGCCTAATATCTAAATTTCCCCTAATATGCTTTGAATGCTTGTGTCCCTCCAAAATTTACATTTGAACCTGATATGAAATTCTCAAGGTAAAGGGTTTTTGAGGCATGACAATGTCTTACAGGCGTCTACCACATGAGGACATAGCTTTCATCCCCTCCAGATAATGCAACATTTGGATTACTACCCAGGAAGCAGGGCTAAAGCCTTAATTAAACATTATATTTCTGTTTTTGAAGCCTTCATAACTGTACGAAATAAATTTATATCATACATACACACACACACACGCAGAGGTATTCTTCTATAGCAACAGAAACATATTACAAAATACTCTGAATTCTTTTCTCAACTCAGTGATATCTGCTCAGTTTTCTGGTTTACAAACCTTAAAATCTTCATGTCTCCACATTACCCTAGTTTTTAGAAACTATTTATTCATCTTGTAGTCCTCTAATTTGAATTTACTGGCATATATTTAAATAAACAATAGCTTCAAGGACTGACAGGCACTATACATGGGAAAGAGGTGAGTGGTGTGGTGGTTTGCATGAGAACAATGGTGCATTAGGCTCACGTGGTTGAATATTTGGTTCCCAGCTGGTTAAACTGTTCAGAAAGGATTAGGAAGTGTGCCCTGGTGGAATAGACATGTCACTGGGAGTAAGGTTTGAGATTTCAAAGGCCCAGATCCATTTCCAGTGCCTCACGCTCTCTCTCCCTCATGTTTATAGATCAAGTTATAAGCTATTTCAGTAGTATTCCTGTCTGCCTGCTGCCACGCTCTCCAATATGATATGATGGTCATGGGCTCAAAGTCTCTGAAACCATATGTCCAAATCAAATGCTTTCTTCTACACGTTGCATTGGTCATGGTGGTTTGCCCCAGCAATTGAAAAGGAACTAAGACGGGGATATTCTTGGTCAGCTGAATTAAGAATAAAAATAAACAGATTACTGCAATGCTTTTCTGAGATTTTAATATAGTAATGATTGATGAATACCCAAGAAAGGAGTGTAATATACAGAGTTTGTTTTCATCTGCTCTCATCTGCTAAAGACCACTTTTATTACAGCAAATCACTCAGGAATAATGTTCGTAAGAATACAATTAGATGCAGCATTAGCACACAATACGCTTCACTGCCCTAATGTAGGTCTGATACTAGGACTAATTCTCAGGCAGCCTCCTCAGGCATCTCCGCTGTCATTTTCTCCATAGGTTTTCTGCTTCCAGTTTTATTTTTTAACAGATACATCTAGCTATGTGTCACCATGACTTTAGAATCACGAGTAGCTTTTATGAAGCATAGGTTCAAACCCTACGCTGCTTATGCATCTCAAAATATAGCCCCGTCTCTCCTCAAAACTTCATTTTTAACATGTATCATGATGTTTCACCCTCCTGGGGATTGATAACATTTTCCCCACATTCTTCAGTGTGGCTTCCCTCTGTTCCCAATCAACCTCTAAAGAAACACCTTAAAACCTATTTCTAGGGAGGGCTCCACGGGTAAGCTTTCATTTTGTCCTTAATTTGTTACTCCTTAGTGTCTCTACACACTTTGCTTTTAGCTCCAGTCCAGCAATTGTCATGCTGCAATTATCAAGCATCGGGGTAAGAAAAGACACCACCACTGGCTTTTAGGAACCTGCTCTCCATGCTGGATTACCTACCCCAGGCTTGCGGCTCAGTCCTGCCTCAATTTGATGTGTCATGTTTTATTCAAGCCCGTGAGAGGTCCCTTTCTGAATGGAGACAGGAGAGGAGTGGAACCAAAAAGGGTAGATGGGAAGGGAGGGGGGCCGTGAGAGGAAAGGAGGGAAGGGAATCTGGGTGGTCGGTATGTACAATAAATGAAAAAAGTTATTAAATAAAATAAAATATATAGAAATAAAACATAAACAATTTTTTAAAAAGAAAAGACTATTTTTTAATAAAAAGCTACAAACATGAATGACTTAGAAAATTGTTTAGAAATAAGTTAACAGGCTTTCACTCCTGCAATTAGAAATGTGTTGTGAGGTTATTAATTTAAACTGTTATTATGAAGAAAACAATATTAACGTTGCTTAAAAGGAACTGAGCCTTCCACCCTACTGTGCCTCTCGTAGAGAATACAACTTTACTAACGTTTGCCTTATAAAAACCTCTACCACCTGGGAATTCTGTTTAGGAGCTGGGGGACATCCTTCGGAAGAGGCTATCTGCCCTAGCATCTCTCTCAATGGAACCCAAGCTGATTAGCACCAGGGAAATAAACATTATTTGGGCCATCCGTACTAGAAAAATAATTGCTGCTGGATAGAAAACACATGAGACAGTTCTGGATCCCACGTTCCCCTTCCCCATCAGGATGCTCCTGACACAGTTTCCAGGGGACGGGAGGTTGGAAGCACCACCAGTCATCCTCTTTTGTTTTCACTGCTAAAATTTAAAGTTCTAGGTATTATCTGAACCAGGAACTCTCATTTCAAGTTCACAAAAAGTAAATAGTTCCAGTGTTGGTTTCTGAGTTTCTTGTCTCCATCGAAAGCTTACCTTTACTGAAAAAATCTACAGGCTGGTACTTCTCTTTTATATTGGGAACGTAGGGCTCCATGAAGGCTGTCAGCTGTGAGTCATCCTTTAAAGGTGAGCATTTGGAAGTCTCCTTGGGATAGTTAATGTTTCTCAAGACCTTGCGATGCTCTTGAACTACATTAAGGATTTCACTTCTCTTAATCTCAAAAGGTATGAATTTGCGAGTTTTCGGGTTTTGGTGTTTATTTTTAAAAACATTTATAGACGTACCTTGAGTCTTATTCTGGAAATAAACCAAAAAAGTTTTAATATTCATTATTTAATATAATTGCATAGTAAATTCTGTCAAGATAAAGTCTTGTCTTCACTGATTACGTTTTCAGTGGAAGACATTTACTGCAATATGCATGGCAGATATCAGTTAAGCCCATACTCTAAAGCCATTCCCAAGAGTGACCTGTTAAAGTCCACTTCAAAAGGAAAGTGTCATTCTCTTCCTGACTCAGAGCCTGTCACATACTGGTGTCCATGAACTCCTTTGTGACAGCCAGTGCAGTATTCAAAAGTACTTATTCATTTTTTTTCTTAATAAAACACGTTAAGTTATGCAAAGCACTACCTCATTTATTCTCTTGTAATGTTGGGCAATAAGAGATTTTGCTTCTTGCAAAAAGTCTTGCTGGATAGTTTCTAATGCAGGACCTAAAATAGAAACAAAAATAAATTTTTATATAGAAATCTTTGTCTTATTTGTTTGGTTTCTGAAACAAGGTCTCAGGCAGGCTTGGAATTTGCAATCCTCCTGCCTCAGGCTCTCAGGCTCTGGTTAAAGTAATTACTTATACTTCTTTAATCAAGGTGGTGAAGGTAAATAAGATGGTTACATAGTTGTGAGTTTTGCAGGACTCTATAAGTGTTTTAAGTGGTTTGCACAATTTTATTCAAAACAAATTAATATAATGTCCTTTTATATAATATCTGCTATTTAAAAAGAAAACCTAACTTATACTGGTCAGGGTAATGAACTATTCACCTGCCTTAAAAATTACTTGAATATCATCTTACAAAAATTAGTAAATTATATTTGTGGCATAAAGTGTATTAACTTTTAACCTGTTGACTAATGCTTATGACTATACATTTCTCTGAGTGTATTTAAATAATAAGTTGTCAATAAAGTAACAAAATAAAATGCCTCAATAAATATGTAGGGCTAGCATGGGAATAGGAAAAATTCATACCTAATGGCCTCTCCCATTTCCATTTTTCTAAATTTCATAATTTTCTTTAACCAGAGATATATACAAACTCTCTGGCATGTACACCATCTCATGTATTCTAGTCCAAGAGTCCATTCTTAAGTATACCCTCTAAAATTAGCTGATTATGATATTAATAAGCATTTCCCCAGCTTCCTCCTCTTAGCCTGGACTCCATACAATTTAAAAGTAGTATCCATCCAAATTAGCTTTCCATCTGTCCAGTGTATAATTCCATCTCCTTTGAAATACCAACAATTAAAATTAATAAAAGTTTAAAAACTTGGGCCCTTAAAAGGGAACTTCTAACAGCTGGGAATGCCAGGGTTGGCACCCAAGCCCCGCTCTCAGAGAAGGGGAGGTGACACTCTACATCTTGGGTCAAAATTCCCATGTCTGCTAATTGCTGGTGGTAAGGTTGTAAAGATCCCTCGGCCCAGGGGATACCTGACAGATCCTGTGACTCTGCAACCCTGCAACCTCATGTCCTGTCTTATCTTGCTCAAATGTATCTTGCTTAAAATATATAGTTACTGCTTTGCTCTATACTTTGTATGACCTTAAGTTACCATGGAAACTGAAATTTGTGGCCTTCAACCTTATGGTCTGCTCCTTTAAAAGCTTCTCTTTATGGCCGGTTGGCATCTCATTTCCCCGCCATGGAGTGAGATCCAAGCTGGACAGTTTGGACAATAAAAAGAAACCTTTACTTTTACATTTGAGGTGTCAGCTCCTAGGATTGGTCTGTGGCCCCACGAACCTGGCACAGCACCTTCACGTGGCTTAAAATCAAGGTTTCCTCTCTCTTCTTCACATACACTCAGATTTTTAAGTCATTTTAAAGAATTTTCTCTATTCCAAATGAAAACATATGAAATGCCTTCACACCAGTTGAGTTAGTAAAATTGAAGACTGGCAGCGTGGAGTGGCGGGGAGGCTGTGAAAACACTGGGACCCTCCCCTGCTGCTGGTGGAAACACAAATACAAAAAGGAATAAGCAGCTCAGAAAAGGTATGGGAATTTTTATAAAATTAAAAATGAGATCTAGCAACTTTTACTTCCAAATATGCACTACAGAAAATGAAAACATCTTCATAAGAGATCTTAATAAGACTGCTTACAGAAACTTGCTCAAAGTCAATTTGGAAAAGGTCCACATATGTATCAATAACAAAACTGAGAAACAAATTGTCTTATACTCATGCAATGAAGCTGTTAGCCATAAAAACAAAACAATGGGGGTGGGTCTCAAAAACAGCATGCCTAGTTAGAGTAACCTACTCGGAAGGACACACCACATGGTTCCCCTATAAGGTGTAGGACAGATAGTATAACCTATGGTAGGAACGAAACAACAAAGAATCTTCTGCTGGGGCAGACTGAGTGAGGGGACCCTGAGGGGGATGTGAAAGACATATCTGAGATGATTATACCATTCACACCCTCATGTGCTTAAAGACATATCTGAGATGATTATACCATTCACACCATCATGTGCTGAAAGACATATCTGAGATGATTATGCCATTCACACCCTCATGTGCTGAAAGACATATCTGAGATGATTATGCCATTCACACCCTCATGTGCTGAAAGACATATCTGAGATGATTATACCATTCACACCCTCATGTGCTGAAAGACATCTGAGATGATGATTAAACCATTCACACCCTCATGTGCTGAAAGACATATCTGAGATGATGATTATACCATTCACACCCTCATGTGCTGAAAGACACATCTGAGATGATTATACCATTCACACCCTCATGTGCTGAAAGACATATCTGAGATGATTATACCATTCACACCCTCATGTGCTGAAAGACATATCTGAGATGATTATGCCATTCACACCCTCATGTGCTGAAAGACATCTGAGATGATGATTAAACCATTCACACCCTCATGTGCTGAAAGACATATCTGAGATGATGATTATACCATTCACACCCTCATGTGCTGAAAGACATCTGAGATGATGATTATACCATTCACACCCTCATGTGCTGAAAGACATATCTGAGATGATTATACCATTCACACCCTCATGTGCTGACTCATGAATGTATACCTAAGATTCCTGCATTTCATCGCATGTACATGTTACATTAACAACAATGGGGTTTAGAGTTAGAGAAAAGACAAAACTGTCCTTGCATGCATGCCCCAAACACTGTGATGCTATTATTACATGCAGTCATGGCCTACCAAGAACTCTTATAATCAAGTTCCGAAGAGAGGAGCCCAGGGAGACCTTAGAACTACAGGAAAGGACAAGCAGACAGTAGTTTCCCTTCAAAGTACTGGGTTAGGAAAGGAAGACACTAAAGCTTTTCTGTTGGGTAAACAGCACAGCTGTCCCTGCAATCCTTAGGAACACCACCTGCTTCCTGTTCCCATTCTTCCTCCCTCTCTGCTATACGTGGAGATGCTGTGAAGTGACCAGGCTCAGACCCCTTCCTCCCATACCCAAGGGTGTCTGTGTGCATCTAAAGACCATTGCTTGTGGCATTATCCTCTTTTCAATTAAAGAGAGAAAGATACTTGGTGAGATTCGTGCACATGTTCCAGGTGTGTCTGGTGCAGACACAGCAAACGCTGATGTCCCAATCCAGAGTCCTAAGAGCGCTGTCCTCACAACGACTTCAGAGCATGTGTCAGTTTCATGAGATTGCAGCTAAGATAAAACTCTGCTTTGCTGGGGTCTCCAGCCAAGCACTTTCTTCCTGAGGGAATGGCACTGGGCTGCTGTGTGGCTCCAAGGCGTGTCCTTTTGTCATTCTACCACAGTCTAGCTACGTTTCCACAGTTTCCAAAGCTATGGGTAAGTGGAATAAACAACATGCAAGAGGATGAAAACTTCTGTAAAATTAAAATACATTTACCTAGTGACCTGGAGATTTTACTTCCAGTCATTTACTGAAGATGAACATCTCCAATAGAGATTTGAATAAGAATGTTCCTAGCAACTTACTCAAACCGTAAGGGTCCACACTTGTATCAATAAAAGGACAGAGAAACTGACCCACGAGATGGTGGTATTCCTTTACAACTACTCATAATAAAAACTGTCACCTGACAGTTGCATGACAAACAACATAAATGAGTCACTTTTGTTGTTGTTGTTGTAAACATGGCCCTGTATAAACTATAACATGTTCGTTTCAGCCAACACTCTAGAGGTGACCCAGTCACAGAGAAATCTCTGAGCTACCGCGGCCTGGGGGTGCTGAAAACACAAAGGTCTCTCTGCTGGGGGCCTGCATGGCCTCCTGGGCCACATCTGCCCTTTCCTTCCTAGCTGTGCCTTTGTTGACCTCCACATACCTGATCGTTCCATGCTCAATAGTGCCACATATCTCCCTTGAACCGTGCACTCTGGCCACCCTAATGGCCTCTTGGGGCGAGCAAGCAGATCTGGACCCGGATGTCCTGCCACTGCACACCCTTATGGTTAGGCCTTGAGACAGCGGAATGGAGCAAGGCCTACATCTGATCCTAAAGCAGCCACGACGGACCAGTTTTGCGCGGATCCCCATGTGACTGTGCTACACAATGGGAAAGGTTGCGCTAGAGTTATTTTTTATTCTTATCGGCTCCAAAAGTAGGTCTATGTTCAACAAGTGAGTTTAAAGATTTGAACAATTAAACAACTCTGATAGGAAGGGTCTATCCAGTTAACGTCTGAGCTTCCTACTTCTTTGGCACTAAAGGGTGAGGGTATAAACATGAAGTTCTTGTGAATCTAAGTGCACATAATAACTGATATCATGACATTGTCACTGCTGTTCCTTCTATATTCAGACATCTATAATTAATCACATCTGAAAACACAGACCCATAACATACAGAGTAATTCTGAAGAAGCCACAATCCTGCTATGTTTTAATTCACTTTGCTCATGAACCTTATTTTCTCAAGCCTTGGCTTTCTCATTGGTAAAACAAGACGATGTCCCAGAAAACTGTTAAGGGCGTTGATTTAGAGCTTATCACAGAACGTTTAGCTAGAATGTAAGTGTTCCCATTGGGGGATTATTATTGCTGTTATTACTGTATTGCTGTCATTGTACTAATTTTTTTCCTGCCCAAGTTTGCATAGTTAATTTCATTAATCAATTCTTGTTTTTTTTTCAATAGCAAAAAGATGAACAACCTTCTAACTTAGTTTAAATCAGCTGCTTGGTGATAGATATTTCATCTAAAATTAATGCATTAATATGTCCACAGGCATTAAAATGTCATCTTTGAGATCCTCTTTGTTACTAAAAACTCAAAACTAAATAACAAATTACTAAAAGCAATAACAATATTTTATAATAAACTAAGTTTTGGAGGTTGGAATGGTCATAATAAGCTGACATGGAACATGAATGCAAATGGTATTTCCAAAGAAAGGAAGATATGCACACTTTGAATTCCAAAGGTTTGAAGTCACATAAAACAGTTTCATACATCAGTCTGTAAAAAGTCTCATTCTTCGTATAGGCTGGGTTGAATGCTTAAAGTGTGATGGTTCTCTGACTGCTTTAGTGGTTCTGCTGGGCTACACCAGTAAGCCTCTAAACTGAGCCACAAGAAGAAAATCTAGTCATGGAAACTGTGAAGGGATGTAATCTCTCAATTACAATCACAGAATAAGCCTCTTAAGCATCTGAAAGGCCCTGGGGCCTTGCAAACATTTATTTATCAAAACCATAGAATGCAACTTGCTGCATTCAGAAGGTTTCATTCCTTCCCAGTCAAAAACTTCCTTTTCCAGAAAAGCTTTGCAAAAATTTGCTAAGAAGCTAATTAAAGATTAACTGCATGTACACTCCAAGTAAATACAGGATTTGGAAAAGGCACTCTCAAGCTAAGCATGTTGTCACATGACTGTAATCCCAGCATTTGGGAAGCTGAGGCAAACAAAGGTTTGAGGCCAGCCTGCACTACATAGCAAGATGCTGTCTCAAAAAGTAAAAAACAAAAATGTATAAAACCCTTAGGCACAATGAGACTTGATTCTGCATATACTTGTAAAGTATCTACTAAGTACTATGCCCTGTTCAGTGCTAAATTGCTCAAATGGGATGCTAGCCATACCTGTTTTCTAGCTACTATAGAACTTAGGGGGCCTTTTCTATAAAGAATTTATAAACAAACTCCATGACATCTAGTAAAAAATATACTATAGTAGTGAACAGCACAAACTACCACTAATCAACTTATCATGCAAAAATTTCCCTTCAAGGAGTTAAAGCTTTCTATTGCATTGCTGTAGAAAAAGTTTAAAACAGAAATGTCTCCAGAGAAATAACACAATGAGCTGGATCCCAATTCAAGCAATGGCTTTAAATTTGTACTTCATTATTTCATGAGTCATGGGAGCCCCAACTCTTTCAGCCAGAGTAGTGCAAACTCTGGTTCTCTACATTTAAGCTCCTGCTAAATTTTATTTTAAAAGACATAATCTTTGGCTATAATAAACATATATTTAATAGGTAAAAACCAATGTACATGTAGAAAAAGTCACTTTCTAAATAGATAAAAATGATCAGTTGTTAGTCATGGCACACTTAGTTTCACTAGACATGTTCCAAGTAGTAAATGTCCTCACAGCTCCAGTGGATAACACGTTGAGCCTTTTCTGGTGGATGGAGAGTGGGCGCATTGTCACAAGTCATGCCAACACATGGCTTCTTCTGGGGGTAATTAAATCAGAAGGAAAGACTCTTCAAAACATCAAAAGTGTCTTGCTCTACACATGAAGTAGGGAGACATGGGTCCTCACCTTCTGCTTCTTCAGTTATGGTTTCCACAGTTGACATGATGGACAGGTAGGTTGATCGCTATGAATGGTGGATTCTGCTGTTACATGAATGATAAAGACATGATGATTATTTACTTTAGCTATTTCTCTCACCCATAAATAAATACAATCAATACATAACACTTAGATATTTCATTACTCTGATCTAGAACTTTCCGTGTCCCCTCTTGGATGGGTAGGTATATATGGAGTGTCTGTATACATCCTACCTTACTGGTTCCAAACAACATGTTCAAGGGTTTAGACATCTTTAAATCTATTCCCAAAGGTTCCTGTGTTGGAAGCAATGATCATGTGAAAGACTTAAGGGAAGCAAGTCTTTGAGTCAACTGGAGTAAGCAATCCGAAGAGACCACCGCACTGCTCTTGCCTCACTGACTTCCTGCTTCTGAGACATGATCTTACTTTCTCGTGCATTCTCCCCATGAGAAGTTCAGCCAAGAGTATCCCCCCAAGCCTGGGACAAAGCTAGCACCAAGATCTTGCATCTCTGAAACTGTGAGTTAAAGGAACTACTTTTCTTTATTACTTAAGCTTGCCTCAAACATTTTATTTATAGTAATAAAACTGAACTACATCCCTGCTAGAACTACTGTCCCACATTTGGCAGATCAGAAAATAAAGATGCAGAGAAATGAAATAAATTGCCTAGGCAAACAGCTGTTTTGTGATATAAAAGAGTTCAAATTCAAATATCTGAGCCTAAGATCCTGTGAGAGCTCACCTAATTTCAGTACTTTCTTATTACTACCAATGCTTACATGGCATATACCTTAGATATCCCAGCTCTGAGTCTAGATTTCTGTTAATCTTCAAATTAAAATGCCTGTTTTCTTCCCCTCTCCTTCATGATTTGTCTAGTCTCTGCCCCTTACCTCTGCATTATGGTACTTATGCTGTCTTTGCTGTGCATGGGGATTAAAAACAGGAGTGGTATTTCTAAAAGTTCTACATCATCAAACAGACTGCACAGCCCCTAAAAGCAAAACTATACTCAAAATACTGGACATTACACTTTACTCAGCTAGTCTTCAACTCTGAATGACTGTCAAAGTCACCTAGGAAGGTATAAAAAAACATGCCAGTCAAACTGTACCTTCTCGTCATATTGTTAAAAATTCGCAGAGATACATGCCCGTCTAGAACAGAATCTAGGAACTCCTTTTAGAAGTTGTGCCTAAATGTTTGTTAGTTGGAAGTGACCCTGCCTTGAATCCTGACCCAGTAATTCCTAGTCAGTGTTGTAGATTCTGGAGCTGCTTAAGAACAGACTGACCCATGCATGGACTGAGGTGTGAGCCCTCCCTCCTACATTTAGCATTACGTTTCTTCCGAAGCATTATGCACAATGCAACAAATGTCTCTACATCTGCAGAATCACTTCCACTGATGCAAATGACTGTGCACTCAGTGGCTTCATGATTATAAACAAGAATACTAAATGCTTTGCAGGGCCTCACAGAGATGTTGTTCTAAACTCTAAATATAATTGTTCAGTTGGCTGATACAACCAACATGCTGTGAAGAAGTGCTCAAAACTTGCTAAACACTTTAGCGATTATTGGAATAAGCATAAACTTTGCCCTATGAAAGTCATGGCTCTCAAATAAAGAGGTATAAAAATTGTCCTTCGCTTCTACCCAGAGGAAGAAACCATAGCATCTTTAAAATCCTAAACATCTAGGGGAAGAGTTTCTCAATTTCTCAGCATTACACTGCTGGTAAGAGCACAGAGCATGCTACAGATCTGCCTAGGTCTAAAAGCAAAACTTAGTGAACAGAAGAGAGTCCTGCCCTCAGCAATCAACATCAGCACTTGTCTTCTTCTTTGACCAACTGTTGTCATCTTGTATTTCAATTTAAGAGAAAAATTAAGTTGGTTTGTGCTCTGTGATTTCCTTACTTCTATCATCTCTAGAGAAATGGACATCTCGGTCATTTCCTCATTTTTACCTCTGTAGACATGGACTTCTCTAGTGTTGCTTGGTGCTCTTCCTTAATTCCGTGTGTCAGGAATGCCATCCTATACCAAATGGGCTGGCTAGCAAGATGTGCCACTGTCCTTTTGGTGCAGAAACTCACTAAGCTTTCCACTGGGTGCTTCCATGGCAAAGCCCCCACAAAACCAAAGAATATGGGAGGAACTGAGGCAGGAGATGGGTGGGAGTAAGCCACGGATGGCAGAACTTTTGAGAGACACACACAATGGCACAACGCAACAGGAAACATATCCCTGTCCACTTGAAGTACAGTCCAGATAGCTATGAGAATCCAAGATTCCCTAGGTGTGCATTTGTTACCTTCCTGTGCATGAGGCTTGCTATCATCAGTTTTGGAAGAAAATGAAAAAATACATTGAAACCCACAGAAGCATTTGTCATAAAGAAGCAGTGCTATAAGCCTGAGAGGGCGGTTAGCCTTAAAATAAACGACAGCATCAAGGACTGAGGATGAGAAAGAGGAAGGTTTAAGAGACATTCTGAGGGCAGGATGGTAGAATAGCCTATCAAAACAGGGCACAGGCCGCATCCTGGCATGACTTCCAGTGACTAGGGATGGCCACAGAGCTTCCATTCCCGGCGGGAGCCAAACACACCAGATCCCAGGTCTTCTCTTCCACCAACGAGACCAGGGAACCAGCAGATCCAGGTAAACAAGCCCTCACATCCTGGGCATGCCTTCCAGTGATTGGGAACAGCCACAGAGCTTCCCATCCCAGTCGGAGCACCCCAGATACCAAGTCTTCTCTTCCACTAAAGGGACCAGGGGACCAGGTGAGAGGCTAAGCAACTCAGATTCCTGGTCTTCTTCTCCACCCATGGGACCAGAACTAGAACAAAGAAGAGAAGAACTACCAGAGTATTGGACTTGCTAGCACCCACTGAAAGGCAACTCTGGGCCCCTAACCATCAGTCCAGTAAGGGGCTCTTTCTGCACCCACTAGAGGAAGAGATGGGAAAAAGACAATAAAAAAACACACTTAGCAACAGAAAAACAAATATGACACTGCCAGATACTAGAGACTGCACACCAGCAAGACTCCAACATTCCAATGCAAATGAAGCAGAAGAGAATGACATTAAAAACAACTTCATTAAAAAGGATAGAGGCCCTAAAAGAAGATATAGGAAAATACCTCAAAGAAATGGAAGAAAAAACAAACCAAAAATGCAAGAAATGGAAGAAAAAAACAAACCAAAAAAGGAAGGAAATGGAAGAAAAAGCAAACCAAAAAATGCAAGAAATGGAAGAAAAAGCAAACCAAAAAATGCAAGAAATGGAAGAAAGAACAAACCAAAAAATTCATAAAATGCAACAAATGAACGAAAAGATGAACTGAAAATTGCAAGAAACAATTCAAACAGTGCAAGGGTTGAAAAATGAAGTAGAGACAATAAAAAAAACAGAATCTGAAGAAAGGCTGGAAATAGAAAAGCTGGGCAAACGTTCAGGTACTACAGATACAAGCATTACCAACAGAATACAAGAGATGGAAGAGAGAATCTCAGGAGAAATGGATTCATCAACCAAAGAAAATCTTAAGTCCAACAAATCCCTAACAAAAACATCCAGGAAATATGGCACCATGAAAAGACCAAACCTAAGAATAATAGGTATAGAAGAAAGTGAAGAAAACCACCTCAGAGGGGCAGAAAACATATTCAACAAAATCATAGAAGAAAACTTTCCCAGCCTAAAGAAAGACATGCCAATAAAGGTACAAGAAGCTTACCAAATAGAATGGATCACAAAAAAGTCCCCTCGCCACATTATAATCAAGACCCCAAATACACAGAACAAAGAAAGAATATTGAGTAGCTAAGAAAAAGGCCAAGTAACATATAAAGGCAAACCTATCAGAATTATATCTGACTTCTCCATGGAAACTCTGAAAGCCAGAAGGTCCTGGATAGATTTCTACCAACACTAAGAGACCATGGATGCCAGCCCAGACTACTATACCCGGCAAAGCTCTCAGTCAATATAGATGGAGAACAAGATATTCCATAACAAAAGTAGATTCAAGCAATATGTATCCACTAACCCAAAACTACAGAAAGTTCTGGAAGGAAAACTCCAACCCAAGGAAATACAACCAGAAAAAACATAGGCATTAGAGAATCCCACTTTACCAACAGCCAAAAGAACAAAGGGGTAGAATTACACACATAATTCCACTAACAACAACCATTCCAAATCAAAGAATGAGCAATCAATGGTCATTAATATCTCTCAATATTAATGACCTTAACTCACCCATAAAAAGACACAGGCTAACAGAATGGATTCGAAGACAGAACCCATCCTTCTGCTGCATACAAGAAACACACCTCACCCTCAAAGACAGACATTACCTGAGAGTTAAAGGTTGGGAAAAGATTTTCCAATCAAATGGACCCAAGAAACAAGCAGACATAGCAATCCTACTATCTAGCAAAATAGACTTTAAAATAAAATCAATCAAAATAGATGAAGGAAGTCATTACATACTCATCACAGGCGAAATCCACCAAGATGAATTTTCTATCCTGAACATCTATGCCCCAAATACAAAGGCATCCATGTTCATAAAAGAAACATTACTAAAACTTAAATCACATATAAAGCCCCACACTCTTATAGTGGGAGATTTCAACACCCCACTCTCAGCACTAGACAGAATACCAGACAGAAACTCAACAAAGAAGCGAAGGGTCTAATAGAAGTAATGACCCAACTGTGATTAACAGACATCTATAGAACATTTCATCCACATAAAAAAGAATATACTTTCTTCTTACCACCACATGGAACCTTCTCAAAAATCGACCACATACTTAGCAACTTATCAAACCTCAGCAACTACAAAAATTTGGAATAACTCCATGCATCTTATCAGACCACCATGTGTTAAAACTAGAATTCAACAACACAAATTGCAGAAACCCTACAAACTCATGGAAATTGAATAATGCACAACTGCACCATTCCTGGGTCAAAGAAGAAATAAAAAAAGAAATTAAAGACTTCCTCGAATTCAATGAGAATGAAGACACAA